GGCTACTGTTTTAGAGGTGACCTTGATTAGTGTGGTGCTGCATTAGCAGTCAGTTAAAAAAGGATGTAGCTCTTGAGAAACTAACCACAAGATCAGTTGAAGTGTACCACTGCTGTGCAGAAGTTATAATTGTCCACTCTACATGGGGTAGTTATAAATAATGTTGTGCACAAGTTTGTTCACTGCTGACTATCAACGGAGAACGCGATGCAAGTTTACTAAGTTATGGGTGATGTGCAGAAGTTATAATCCTCTTACCTGTAAATACTAAATACACAGGCAAAAGAACTAAGTTCTTGAAATTGATGACACATCTTCATTCCATAGATGTTTACGTTTTTATAGGTCAGCTATTTCTTTACAGAAAATTTTGAAGATGTGGAACATTGCAGATATATCGTAAACTGAGATGTATCCTATGTTATGAAGAAATGTACAGTACTGGGGAGTAAAATTTTGTTCAGTACCCTCTCAACAAATTTTGATAGGCTATACAAGGTCGATAAAACCTTACGCCCTTGAGTAATCTGGGTCCTGCAGCCAACAAAATGAGACACTCTGAATAAAGCAACATTTAGTAGATTCATGAGCATGGCATAACGATAAGGAAAATTACAAAACAAAGTTTCCAAACTAAGAACAAAATGAAAATTCTGTTATAAATAAGCGGCAGTTGTATAGCTCAAAGCACAAGCAACATCGGTCTTACACTCATACATTTAATGTACATATGAAATAATGGTGCCCATGTAAAAGATGGTATAAACAGTCTTCAATTAGCTTGAAATAACAATACTTGCGGTGAATTTATGGTGTCTAAGAACAGCAAGTTAAAAGGGAGAATCTAACAACCTTTTGAAGGTCCCCGAGACCTTTGCACTGAAGATGTCAGTAGCAGCTGATATGAAGCTACACTTTCTAGCCAATGAAATCTTTTCCACATGATCTATAATCTGCAAATAAAATTGCAACAAATCATCAAATATATGGAAATTTTAAAAATGAAAAAAGGTATAACACGCAAAAGAAAGAGTCTGGTAACACTTGAACCTTCTTTTTTTCTTCCTTGTCACCAGGCAAAAGGGTCTTTAAGGCCTGACGCCATGGGCCATCATCACAACCAGGTAATGTGGTCCTAAGTATTGCCATAATAGCTTTGATAACCTGGAATAATAGCATGGTAAAGCACTTAAGCCGTGAGGCAACTGAGAGCACGTACAGGGTTGTTCACTTATTATTCCCAAGTAAATTATGAGTGCACTAAAATATGGTCATTCGTTTATATTAAGTGGAACAAAGTTATGCAAAATTTGGTGATGCACAAAAAAAGATTTCGCATGATTGCTTTCTCGAACAGTCTATGTATGGCTGACGTTGACAAAACTCACATGTCTACAAAAAAATAAGTAAATAAAAAACAAATAATGTTGTTAGCTTCATAGCATCAAGTTCAAACAATAGCTTATGATTATAACATATATTCTCAGAAGGGTGCTTCCCTACTGGTTCCTTCCAAAGGAATTGAAAAATTAGCAATAGCTCGTTTGCAACCCATAAGAAATTTCCAAGATCCCAAATGTTACGCAACTAATGACTTTAGAATTAACCGCACAGAAGAAAAGAGAGATAATGAGAAATTGCTACTTTGCAGTGTGTCTCAAGATTAAACTAAATTGAACTACCTTTTTCCTGTAGAAAGCCACACCATGAACATTAAAGGGTATTTTCCTGTTGCGGAATGACACTTGGAATGCTTTGCCAGTTATCTGTGTACAAGAAAGTTAGACTGCAAGCATGACCAAATGTGCTTTTCTACAATGCAGGGTTCAAAAATTCTCAACCTGTCTTCAATATAGGACAGCAATTTTACCAAAGTCGTGGCCTTCAGCTGAACTAGATGTAGTTTCAATGATTTTGTCAATGACAAATGCACATTGTGAATCTTCGCTATGGCACTCCTTAACAGTGATCTAAGTAATATTAAATCAATAAGCAACTGACAGGATGGAAGAACAAACGAAGAGGTTCAGTTGGGCTTCTATGAGTATACCTTACTTCCAGAAGGGTTGTCTGTCTCAGCAAGTTTATGATTACACCGTTTAGTGTTGTTGTGAATAAGAGCTGTGGCTGCTTCGACAATTGCCCGTGTTGAGCGGTAGTTCTTGTTCAACCTGATCTGCAGTCATCGGCAAGGCAAGCTACTTAACAGATATCATGAAGAAAATGTAACACCTAAGACAGTTAGAAAGTGCCCCCAGAGACGTCACAGTTACCTCTTTATGATTTGGAAAGTCTCTACGGAATGAATCAAAGCCAGAAACATCCGCACCATTGAAACTGAAGATGGACTGATACAAGAGAAAAAGAAGTTAAAAATAGTATATGTATGGCAGCTGAAAGCACCAATGGGCATCTAGAAACCATAAGTTCTAAAATTCATGGATGATAAAGTGGACCAAATTTGCATACCTGATCATCATCACCAACTATGGTTATATGATTGTGAGAAGCTAGAAGCTTCAGAAGAAAATATTGCATAGCACTGGTATCCTGAAACTCATCAACTACTATTGCCTGCCATGTGTTCTGGCACTCTTTGTATACTGCATAGGCAAGACAGATATCTTATCAACAGCTCATCAAAGCAGGTGATATTGTGAGATAAGAAATGAAACTACCTTCAGGAAACTTCGTGAGAAGCGTTATGGATGAGTTGATAAAATCATGATAATCAAGAGCATTACAAGACACTAGTATTTCATTATAGTGCCGAAGAATCGAAGCCTACTCAAAATGTCACGAAGTAAAGGTCAATGTGATTATAGAACACAGTGGATAACAATGATTTATACACAGAAGAGAGCTTACTCCTGTCAAATCGCCCTTCTTTTCATATTCTTCAGGAGTTTGTCCTGAAGATTTCGCCTGTAAATGAAGATGCAACATTTGGTAAATGGTAACAATAAAACCCAACTACACAAAAAGATCTGCTTAGTAACACAACCTCCTACGCTATGGATACATGATTATTTTCCAGAAAGACTTCTTCATATTACTGACTCGCTCACAGTTTGGATCTAGTACAAATGTGATAAAGACTCTAGTAGTAAGCTCAAGAATTGTGTGAACCAAAATGCTTTGGACAAACAAAATCTGTAGCCATGAGCCCATGAGAGTAAATTGCTGAAAGCCACCACATTTGTGGCTAGGGTACTGCAAAACTACCGCTTTTGCCAAAAATCACAAAAGACTACCAACTCTGCGGCAAGTGAATAACAAAACGCACTAAACGAGCTGTGAGCCGTGACTAATAGGAATACTGACAGCGCTGGCCCACCTGTCGGGTCCACGTGGCATATCTACACAGACAACATGCTGACATGGCCAAGGGTCCCACATGTCAGCCCCACACCTCGTTCTTCCTGCTTACATCTCTCTTCCCCTCTCTCTCCCCCGTTGACTCCGGCCCTGCCCCAGCCGCGACAGCCCCGAGCCCTCGACTACACCGCGCACCCTCCGCCTCTTCTCCCACACGCCCATGGATAGTACACCGTCGAGGAGGGCTGCACGAACCCGAGCTCCATGGCGAGGACGGGGCGGCGCAAACGCAGGCGGGGCGGCGACGCGGGCGCGACGGCGGCACTGCAAACGCAGGCGGGACGACGCGCAGGCGCGGACGCGGGGCGGCGGTGCTGCAGGCACGGGCGCGACGGCGGCATTGCAGACGCAGGCCGGGCGGCGACGTGCAGGCACGGACGAGAGGCGGCAGCCCTACAGGCGCAGACGCGGGCGGCGGCGCGGCAGGCATAGGTGCGACGGCGGCGTTGCAGACGCAGGCGGGGCGGCGACGCGCAGGCGCGGGGAAGCGGGGCGGCGGCGCTGCAGGCACGGGCGCGACGGCGGCGTTGCAGATGCAGACGGGGCGGCGACGCGCAGGCGCGGACGCCAGGCGGTGGCGCGGGCGCTGGACGCGCGGCAAGCGCCGGCGACGCAGCAAGCGGGGGCGCGGGGCGGCTTGACCCTCGAGCAGCGGCACTGGAGGTCAAGCGGCGGCATAGGAGCTCGAGTGGCGGCCATTTCTCCTGCAACAAGGGAAGGCGGATGTGCGGTCGCCTCCCGTCAGCGCGCTCGTGCGCTCACTTTGGACCAGTCGTCGGTGTGGATGACCTCGGTGCTGTGGCTGACAGGTGGGCCCCCTGTCCACCTCAGCAGGTCAAACAACGACTAGGTTTAGTCTTCGCCACATAATCCCAGACAGACGGGTCCCACCCGTCAGTTTTCTGTTAGACGCAACTAAATTTCGAATCAGTGCAATCTGTTACTCACTTGCCGCAGAGTTGGTGGTCTTTTGTGATTTTTGGCAAAAGCGGTAGTTTTGCAGTACTCTAGCCACAATGTGGTGGCTTTCAGCAATTTACTCAGCCCATGACTACCCGTGAAGTGAGACATACCCATAGTTCAAAAAGTGCTAGGCGTTTTGCTATCACCTAGAGCCTAGGCACACTTAAGACAGTTAGAAAGTGCATGTTTATGCTTATGCTTATGGCCACCGCCTTGCACTTTTCTGACCAAAGCGCATGCTTATGCGCAGATTAAGCGCAAGGCGTTTTGCTATCACCTAGAGCCTAGGTGCACTTAAGCACCCACCTAGGTGTGCCTTTTTAACTATGGACATATCAATTCACAACTAAGCTAAATGTGATCCAGATTTAGCATGTGGTCACACCTATGGTTTTGTGAGGCACCTTCAAGGCTTCAACAAGTATCATAGTTACCCAGAGTTTTCACATAATTTTTGGGATCTAGTAATTGTCAAAATTATTAATAAGACATTTGTAATTGTGTCCTAATTGATTGGTTCTAAAGTGATTGTTCAGAGTTAGTTTTTGTATGTCAAGTGTATTCAAAACCTTTGTATTTTTGTTTTCTACTATATGCAGAACTTTGTATACTTTATCTTGAATTAATTCAGGCGTCTCAACAAGACTAGGAATAATCCACTATATGCAGTAAGCCTTTAGAAAAATGTCTGCACAGCATACTGAAGCAGTTCCTTCAATATTATGCGCTGTGGATTGTGCAGAAGGTGGCAAGTAACAAATATATATACATATATAAGGAGAATCTGAACGACACTTTGGGTAGATGCAAAGTTATTGTGAGGCTTTACAATAATTTTGCAGGAGCAAAATGCTGTAGAGACTGCCCAATCCCTTCATAGAGCTTCAGGTGCACCAAAACAAAAAGGAAATAAAAACTATAAAATGATAGTGATGAATCTTCAGAAGTAGAAGGCACCTGTGTAACAAACTTCAACCACTTCTTAGCTTTGTCTTTAAAAGAATGTTTAATATCTCCATCATACTGCTTAACTGCATCTCCTAAACCATCACTTTTGCCATGCTCCAACAGGCGTTCTGCCTCAATAATGGCCCTCCTCTGTTGCCCATGGCCATATATTATGAATTCAGATGTGCGCCCTAGCCTTCAAACGAATGTTGTAGAAATATTAGTTTTTAAAAAAAGGGACAAAATAAGCCAAGAACAAGTATCTAAGAGTTCACAACAACTTGTAGACTTAATAAACTGCAAGAAAGAGAAAGTGTATTGAAATGAGAACATAAAACACAAACAAGAAAATTATCAGATCAGCAAATTGATATAGCATTGCACATACTTTTCCATTAACAACTTTGTGAGACATTAAATTACAGTTAGAGATGATTGTAAGAGGTTCGCTTGGAAGAGCAAGGCCGTGACTATCACGGACCCGGCGTTCTCCGCGAACACGATCACTGCCAAGGTTTCCACAGGCTCAGATGCCCCTTGGTGGATGACGGTGATCTACGGACCGCAGGATGATGAAGATAAAATTGTGTTTCTTCAGGAATTATGCGACGTCCGCAGCGATTGCCAGGGACCTTGGATGCTTTGCGGGGATTTTAACCTAATCTACCATGACAAAGACAAGAATAATGGCAATCTGAATAGGAGCATGATGGGCAGATTCCGAAGGCTGATCAACGACCTCACGTTGAAGGAAATATATCTCAATGGTCGCCGGTACACATGGTCGAATGAGCAATCCCCTCCCCCACCCACCCACCGTGGTGCACCTTGACAGGTGCTCTGCACTGCTGACTGGGAAGACGCCCATGCCGCTTGCCACCTTCGATGCCTCGCATTGGTGGTTTCTGACCACAGGCCATTGCTCTTGGATTGTACCCCTGTACCGGCTGCACATCGGCGATTCCACTTTGAGGATCTCTGGTTGCGCCTTGATGGTTTCCACGAGAGGGTGGCCGCGGCCTAGAGCTCGATCGATGACGTCGACCCCTTCCGCCAGCTGAGGATTCGATTGCAAGCCACAGCACGGAAGTTGACGAATTGGAGTTCCCGATCTGTCGGGAACAATAGGAACAAGATGGCCATCTCACACGAGCTCATCTCGCGCTTTGACAAGGCTCAGGAAGACCGGATGTTGACGCTGCAAGAGGATTGGTTCCGTAAGCAGCTTAAGATTTCCTATCTTGGCTTGGCTTCTATGGAGCACATATTCGCTCGACAACGCGCCCGGATCACCAATCTGAAAGGACCGTGACGTCAATACCTCCTTCCACCGGCAATGCTCTTTCCGCCGGCTAAAGAACAAGATTTTTGGCCTCACCGTGGACGGCCAGGTGATCACCGAGCACAAGAGCATGACGGAAGCTGCCTTCACGCACTATGATGTGCTCCTGTGCACCGCCATCGACTGCGATTGCACGGTGGACTTGTTGGAGCTGATCGTGCCCAGTGACCTTGACAACCTCGACGCTCCCTTCAACACTGAGGAGATTTGGGAGACAATCAAGCGTCTGCCCACGCGCAAGGCAATCGGGCCGATGGCTTCACCACAAAGTTCCTGTGGGCCTGTTGGAGTATGGTGCGACAAGACTTTGTCGACGTCTTCCAACAGTTATATGAGATGAGAGGCCATGGCTTCTGCAGCCTCAACCAGGCGCTGATCACCCTGCTACCAAAGCACGCAGATGCGAGCACACTAAAGACCAAACGACTACCGGCCAATAAGTCTTATCCACCTAGTGGCCAAGATCTTTGCCAAAGTCCTCTGACTACGCCTAGCCCCAAAGCTGGATAGCCTTGTCAGCCGAAGCCAAAACACGTCCATCGCCGGTCGAAGTCTACATGACAACTTCATTCTAGTCAAGCAATCGGCCTGGATCCTTCACCAACCAGGTGCCCCGCGAGTCTTGGCCCTTCCTCTTCAAGGTCCTTCACCAATATGGCTTTGGGAACAGACTTCTGGAGTGGATCCCTATCCTACTATCATCGGTGAGCACACGCGTCCTGATGAATGGCGAGCCGGGCGCCCCTATCTGGCACCGCCGGGGGCTCCGCCAGAGTAATCGCCGTCGCGGGCACTCAATGTTGACACATTAGAATGGCTCATCAAGCACGCGATCGACCTGGGAATCATGGCTCAGCTGCACCCTAGACGTTCGATCCCCGTGGTGTCTCTGTACGCTGACGACGTGGTACTTTTCTACCATTGTTCGTCCAGCGACATCATTGCCAAATTTTGAAGTTCTTCAGCCGCGCCTCTGGCCTTATGGTGAATTACGCCAAGAGCTCCGTTGCATTGTGACACTGATGAGGCGACGACTGTGATCGCGCAACTAGGTTGTCCTATTGTTGAGCTATTGATCACCTACCACGGGATCCCCCTCGCAACACGACGACCTACCGCAGCCCAATTACAAGCCCTTTTTGATGGGATCGTCGGGCGACTCCCTGCTTGGAAGGCCAGACTGATGAACAAAACAGGGCGCCTCGCGTTGGTGAAATCTGTCATGGGTGCCATTCCTGAGCACCAGCTCCTCGCCTTCACGCCGCCAAAGAAGACGCTTCGTCAAAAATCGAGAAGATTCAACCCAGCTTCTTGTGGGTTGGCTGCGTAGCTGCCAACGGTGGCCTCTGCCACGTCAATTGGCGTCGTGTCTGCCGCCCCATCACGCACGGAGGCTTCGGCATCCAAGACCTAGAGTGTGTTGGCCTCGCCTTGAGGCTCCGCTGGCTTTGGTTCTCGCGCACCGATCATGAGCGCGACTGGAGTGGCTTGGAGCTGCAGTTGTCTACCAAGGAACGGGTGCTCTTCTTCGCCTCCACCACGATGACCATCGGAAACAGCTTAACTGCGTTTTTCTGGGAGGACCGCTGGATCAACTAGCAGTCGATAAGCGAGATCGCCCCAGCCCTCTACAACTGCATCCCCAAGCGCCGCCGCAAAGATTCGGATCGTCGCTGAAGATTTACAAGGGCATAACTGGGCACGAGACATCCACAGGGCCCTCGGCATACACGAGATTGACCGGTATCTGAAAGTCTGGCTGGCGATCAAGCACTTCTTGCTCTCGGACGCCCCCGACCAGCTTGTTTGGTAGTGGACGGCCACTGGCACCTACTCTGCTAGCTCCTGCTACCTCGCCACCTTCCAGTGATCCACGACTTGCTTCCCGTGGAAGCTCATATGAAAAATTGGTCACCGCTGCATGTGAAGTTTTTCCACTGGTTGGCCAACCAAGATAGGTGCTCGACTGCTAATCGCCTCGCTCGGCGTGGACTCCAATACCAGCCCGGATGCCCACTCTGCGACCAGGCCCCCGAGACGATGCGTCACCTCCTCCTGGAGTGCCCCTTCGCCAGGCAGACTTGGCATGAGATCCTCGCCTGGCTCGGGATGACCATCGCCGGCCCAATGAGGAAGAATCCCTCATGGACTGGTGGCTCAACGCCAAGCAGAACACGCCTACGCAGTTGCGCAAGGGTCTCACATCCATTGCCCTCCTAACACCGTGGATGATTTGGAAGCAGCGCAACGAGTGCGTCTTCGACGATGCCCAGCCTCTGATTCATGCCCTGGTCTCCAGGATCAAGGACGAAGTCGAGCAGTGGGCACGAGCTGGTGCTCATGGCCTTCGCGTCACCCTGTCACCTGTTGAAGTGTATATGTGGATTGCCTAGCCCTTTCCATCAGTTCGGACTTTTGGTTGCATTGGCTAGTGCATGAAGCATAACATGGTACCAGAGCTAAGGTCTTGAGTTCAAGTCCTGGCTTTCGCAGTTTATCCAAAAAAATTGTTGCCCCCCTTTGTCCACGTATAGGCCTCTCGAGCCATACCTCTGAGTCTATCCATGTGTTGACTTTCTACGTCACACGTGAGAGGGGGTGTTGAAGTGTATATGTGGATTGCCTAGCCCTTTCCATCAGTTCGGACTTTTGGTTGTGTTGGCTAGTGCATGAAGCTTAACACCGCCCACCTGGGATGTACACTAGTTTCCCTGTATTTTGTTTGAACTCGGCCTCTTAGGAGGATCGTAACCCAACTCTATCTTTTCAATGCAATGAAACACAAAGTTCCTTGGTGTTTTCTCAGAAAAAAATGATTGTAAGAACTAAGAGGTAGTTTAATGCATCTCTGACATCTAGTTCATGGTTACTACTTACTACAGGTGAAAAGAGTCATCATAAGTAAATATTGACTCATAAGTAAAACTGAGGATAATATTTTTTTAGCTTCATTTTTATACAGTTCTATCCCATTAAGTTACTTCATAATTAAGTCAATATCTGACAACAGAAAATGCATACTTTTCAGCATGGGTCCTGCAAAGCTGCAAGCAGAAGGAGTGAAATGTGCTTATTATGATCTCTTTGGCAACTGCCTTCCCGACCACTGCCCCTATCCGGTCCCTCATTTCTGAGGCAGCAGCAGTTGTGAATGTCATAGCAAGGATGTTCGATGGTGGAATTCCCTGGTCGTACAATAAACGGAGAAATATGACTGTGTGACCTTCAAATATCACTACATGCTAATTTTGTAGTGAACATATGAAAGAGCGCACTCTACCTCTTTGAGCAATGTGAGAACCCTGCCGACCATTGTAGAAGTCTTGAGTCATGCCAGTTACAAAGAAAGTCAATATAGATAAAAGTGCGGAAATGATCACAAGATAAGAGGTCTATGGAGCTCAGTTAAAGAGTGCCATCTTATTATATTTAAGTCACGGCATAATGAAACTGTGTGCAGATAAGAGACACAATTCAGACCGTTTTAAAAATGTAAATCCAAGGACTGCACTTGCATCATTTTCTTGAACACTACATTAGTGCGCCAGAAGAAGTTTGCAAATACGATATGAAGTTACTTAAACAGACAAACAAATAAGAGTGAAACATATGAGTAAATTGCTTTCTGTTCTTCTAACTGTCCGGAAGGATATAGGCTACTGTCTTGGGAATAAATGGTGCAACCTTTGTGCAGAGTTTCTTCTACTATAATTGGTGCACATTTTTAGATGTGAATTCAAGCAAAAATAATATTCATGGAATATATTTTACTTTGTAGGTAGGATTTCTGTCGTAATGGGACAGATCATGTTAGTTCTGATTTCATTTGGAATCAATAATTAATTGCATCAAAATATCAGCTATAACATCCTTGGGAAAATAATATCAGCTATAACATTCTTGGGAAAATAATATCAGCTATAAGAACAGAAGATACGAACTTATTAACTCATCTGATACTGATAATCTTATTTTTCTTAAATCATCTTAGTAAAAAAAAGGTAAATCACGAAAACAATTGGTCTCAGTGGACACAAGCAACAGAAATTATTGGTCTTAGTTGACTTTTTGGATATCGAATTTGGGAAAACCAATATTGTGGAAAGAGTTAATCACATTATAATTATACATATTCACTGTAATGAGAACTAAGATATTGTATCCAGAAACACGAAATGTATATTGTACTCCCTCCGTCCGGAAATACTTGTCATCAAAATGAATAAAAGGGGATGTATCTAGATGTATATTAGATACATCCCCTTTTATTCATTTTGATGACAAGTATTTCCGGACGGAGGGAGTACAATTTATCCAAATTAAGACAAAAATTGTACCTTTCCACTTCCTGGACCTGCAACGATCATTAACGGAACAGCAACATCACTGCATGCAGCTTTCCTCTGCTTGTCGTTTAGGGAGTGCAAATACTCATAGTACTTCCTTGGGGCACACCCTTCATTTTCCTCCATTTCTAGTCCCATCTCCCCAGGCTCCTCCTTGCCCTTGGCAGCAGACATGGCAACCTGCCCCTCATGGATGACATCGACCTCCCCCAAGAGTGCATCAACAACCTTAATATCTCCAAGAGAAGAGTAATCAAATAAACTGGTTTAGTTATTTGGTTCCAGACCAAACCTACTCAATTCCTTCCAAGATTCAGGAAGCAAGAATTCCATGATGCCCCAAAACTATAGAACTTTCCCCTGTCTAAAATTAAGAAGCAAAGTTATACCTCTCCTCCCTCCTCCGCAATGGATATTACTGGAGGGAAATCAACACATAATGCTACTGAGCCATCTTCTACGTACACCACATCTATCTCATCCTGGTTGATCGCCGAAGATGTGACGTAGTGCTCCTGGTTCATCTCAGAAGATGTGACATGGTGCTCCTTGCTGATGGCATTGACATTGACTTCCCAGAAAGTGTCCTCCAACTGAATTTCTCTCAAAAGAAGACAACGTGATAAGCTCCTTTGCAATGTACTGGCTACCTAGTTCACTTCTAATTTCACAAAACCAACATTATTCTCTTAAGATTCTTAGTTGTTGACGTATAATGTGTTGCGTAGTCTCTTTCATCAGATCGGTCTTTTGGTTGCATTGGCTAAAGCATGCACTTCTACATGGTATCGAGCCAAGAGGTCTTGAGTTCAAGACCCAGCTGGCGCAATTAAATTGCAGCCCACTTTCGGTCCACGTTTAGGCCCGAGGGAGCCACACGTGAGGGGGGGTGTTGACGTATAATGTGTTGCCTAGTCTCTTCCATCAGATCGGTCTTTTGGTTGCATTGGCTAGAGCTTGCACTTCTACATTAGTGTTAGGTAGGGGAAAACATGACTTAAAGGAAGTTACAAATGCTTTCGGATTTAAAGGAACCGGGTTCAAATTAGAACTAAAACCACGACAAGAATTCCATTATGAAAACGGAGGGAGTAGCACTTCGTAGAATTTCCAAAGTTTCCCCACCAGATCAATGAAAGCAAAAGGCACACATGCCCCATGGATATTCACATACCTTAACACAGTCATCTGCGATGGATATAGCTGGCAGAAACGAATCATCACCACAGGACAGAACCGAGCTTTCCTCTTCCACCATCTCCTTCAGCTCCTCATCCTGGCTCTTGGCAGCAGGCTGAGCATCACACTCCTCAAAAATGGCAGCCTCCGTCCAGAATGCGTCCTCAAGCTAAATTCAATCAAAAAAAGAGAATAATGAAGTGAGCGCTTTATTGAAATTACCACCTAGGCAATCCTAATTAATCGGAATAACACATCAAGAACAGATTATCCTCGGATTGAGTCAGCATTTCCTTTCGTCGGTTCTTATCTCTCCCTAACAAATCAATCTTTTGCATAAACGAATTTGGATATGCCTTGGCTCTCCCTATTCTATTTCCAATTTCAAAACAACTTAGAAAGGACCAAAGGTATACCGTTCCGCACTCTGGTCCGGCGTGGGTTGCTGCCGCCACAACGATCGGCCCTCGCTCCACCGTCGAATCTTTCTCCCTGCCCTTATCTTTCCCGGCCATGGACCGCGAGTGCTCCTCGCAGATGGCGTCCACCTCAAGCAAGAACGCCTGGTCCATGTCGTCGTCCTCTAGAAGGAACCCGCAAGACTTGGGCACCTTGGGGAGGGGAGTGATGTACCCGTAATCGATGCCCTCCACGCCGCCTGCGGATCCGGGCTGCTGCAGGGCGTTGCCCGTGACATCGGCAAGCGGCCGGCGAGGCGGCGGGCATGGAGACTGCAGCGGCCGCTTGCAGGGGAGCAGTCGGGAGGGGTTGGAAGAGCTGCCGTAGTGGGGCGGAGCAGGATAAATGTTTTCCTTCCAGCGCGACATGGATGCCGTCGAGATCGCCGGCGGCGAGGGTTTAGGTATTTGGGGCGGCGGTGTGGGCGGGACGAGGTGGGGTTTTTTTCTTCATTTCGATTCGAAGAGAGCGCGGTTTTTGGGTTTTTTATTTATTTTGTTGAGCGCGGAAAGAGAGCACGTTAAATTTGGATAAATGGAACGAACAAAAAATTGAATGAGTGGAAACGGGTCACATAGGCTTGTGTCAACTTAGTAAAATGCACTACAGGTCATTAAACTTGTTCATCATTGCCTAAAAAAAAACTTGTTCATCATGGTCATTTTGGTCATTGTATTCAAAGAATGGCATGTTACGACGATTGTACTTGCTCACATGGACTCATATCGTCACTTTCTACATTTTGGTCCGTGTTGTCACTGAGTCGCTGCTGTTTTTTGCAGATGAGCCCTCTCATCGATTAGTTTTATGTTTAGAGGCGCCTTGATCACATCTATTGGTAAAGGAAGAGGAAGACACCAAGGGCGTAATTCGTCGAGCGATGGCACAGACCCACCGGTATATGGTAAGTCGTCTTGCCTCACTTCTCTTTCCCATGTTTCGAACGAAAATGAGGCGATTTTTACTCCATCTTGATGGGTTGATCCATGATCCTAACATATAGGAGTCCGCATTGCCGATCGAAACGTGTTTTGATGGTCGGCTTTGTTGCAGCGACGGTAGTTGATTAGGGTTTTGAGAGAGGTTTGTTAGGGTTCCTATTAGGGATAATTAATTTCTTGAATCAAGGTTGATGGATGTTTGCCTTGCACAATGTTGATTCCCGCAGTTTGAATTTCTCTATGGAGTTCAATGCATGTGGTTATTTTCTTGGTACTAGATGGAACAGGCATATGTGAATGGGAAGCCAATTTGGTATGATAACCTTCATGTGGACATTTGGTCAAATCTTGTCGTGGAACACTTTGGGTATGAAAACGGCAGGAAGGATTAAAGCCTATTGTTGTGTGCCACTGCTATCGAAGAAATCGGTTGAGACAGATAAGAGATGATGATGACACAGACAAATGTGTGATTTTGTCTTAATTGTTTACCATTGAGGGATGGACCAAAAGCTCGTAGCTTCCGAGTATAATGAATGCTCGATTGCTCGACTCATTAAAATCAAAGCTCGCTTATTAATGAACAGAGCCAATGACCGATTTCAACTCGCTCAAGCTCGTTAAGCTTCGTTAAGCTTAACGAGCTTGAGCTAACGAGTTTTACGAGCAGATCGTCAAGCTCGTTAGTACATCACAACACATATTTTCATCTTTGTTACAACATTTTATGTTAATCAACATAATCGACCCAACCTAGCCCACAGGAGGCAGCATACTAGTGTACCTACTCCTGTAGTCACCATCTTTCTTCATAAAAACCATACCTACACTCTCATCTCGTAGACTGTAACACATCGTAGTTTGTTAACGAGCGCTCGGGAGCGTTCACGAGCTTAACAAGCTTTAAATGAATAGAGTCGAGGAGGGTTTTGTGCTCGTTAAGCTTAACAAGCTTAATGAGCCGAGTCTTAACGAGCACGAGCTTAACGAGGCGAGCAGCTCATTAATCCAACCCCATTTCCTACAACTATTTCTTGACCACGATGACAGCATTAACTCGAAAAAACAGAGATGACGTGGTACATTTCCCAGTAGCATAGTTGCCACTAGTTCTTAGGGCCTGTTTGGTTCTTATCCTTGCTTGCGTGCCTGACAAAAAGGAACGCCTGGACATAGCCTGAGATTCAAAAGATTTGTGCCTGGCTAGGCATGAGGTGTTTGGATGCAGCCTGGTCTGAAGAAAGCTTATTGGAAAAACTCATTGACTTGAGGCCTGGTTCACCCGAAAAAAGTAGCCGACAAGACTAGCATTAGCGCCAGGCAGATGCTCAGGCATCCAATTTCTATGGCCTCGGGCCAGGCTAAGCAATATGCCTAGTTTATGCGCCAGGCTAAGTAAGACATTCGTCACCAGGCTAGGCTGCTTTGGGATACTGTGGACAGAAACCAAACACTGCTCAGGCAGTTTCCAGCCAAGGTCCAGGCCAGGCATGTTGGAGCGAGGACACAAAACAAACATGCCCTTAGTCCAACAAAGTGTAGGCTTAGTGATGTGATAACCCACAAGTATACGGGATCGCAACAGTTTTCAAGGATAGAGTATTCAACCCAAATTTATAGATTCGACGCAAGGGGAGCCAAAAAATATTTGAAGGTATTAGCAGCTGAGTTGTCAATTCAGCCACACATGGAGATTAATTATCTGCAGCAGAATGATTAGTAGCACAGTAGTATGATAGTTTTTATGATAGCAGCAGTAGTAACGGTAACAGTAATAGTGATAGCAGTGATATTGTAGCAGTAACGATAGCAGTAGCAATAGTAGTAACTTAGCAAGAGCAATATATGATAAATTCGTAGGCATTGGATCGATGACTCGTTGGGTGATATTCATCATGAGACAATATAACCTAGGGCGATACGGCACTAGCTCCAGTTCATAAATATAATGTAGGCACGTATTCCGTAAATAGTCATACGTGCTTATGAAATGAACTTGCATGCCATCTTTTGTCCTACCCTCCCGTGGCAGCGGGATCCTATTGTAAACTAAGGGATATTAAGGCCTCCTTTTAGTAGAGAACCGGAACAAAGCATTAGCACACGGTGAATACATGAACTCCTCAAACTACGGTCATCACCGGGAGTGGTCCCGACTGTTGTCACTCCAGGGTTGCCGGATCATAACACGTAGTAGGTGACTATAACTTGCAAGATCGGATCTAGAACATGAATATAATGGTGATAACATAAACAGTTCAGATCTGAAAACCATGGCATCCAGGCCCAAAGTGACAAGCATTAAGCATGGCAGAGTCATAGCAACATCAATCTCAAAAGATAGTGGATACTAGCACTACAAAAAAAGACACATCCGTGACATTTTGGGCCGAACGAAACTTTTCTGTCATATATATGACACTTCTATGACGATAATTGTGACAAAACCCGGTATCATCATAGATGTGGTGGCTCCTACTTCTATGACAAAAAATCATGACAGAAAATGGGCTTTTCGTCCTGGGCGGGCCGGAGACGCAGCTGCATGACATTCTTTGGGCCATCCATGATGGAAAAAACCGTGGTAGAAGCGAGGGCGAGGAAAATTTTGGGGAGTTCCCAGTTACGGTGGGTCGTGGGGGCCGAGCGATGCTCATTTCTCTCGTACACGTACGTGCATGTGTGCGAGGCATTGGCTCTAACTGAACCCGAGCGAGGCGTTGGGCTATAACTGAACCCGAGCGATTGCACTACAGGCTACGCATTACTGAACCCGAGCGATCAAACGATGGCTGTTAACTGAACCCGATCGAGCGATTCCTTTGCTACTGCTGCTAACTGAAGCCGATCGATGCTGCCTCTCTGGATGAACAGTGAGCGTTGCAGGGGGGTTGGATAACCAGTGAGCGATGGCGTTGCCTCTGGATGAACAAGACCCCGTGGTGTGGAGGGCTGGATGAACAGGACGCCCCCGTGGAGGGCTGAATGAACAGTAGACGGTGGAGGGGTGCCCGTGGAGGGGTGGTTGAACAGTAGCCGGTGGAGTAGCGCGCGGTGGAGGCTGGATGAACAGGAGCCCATGGAGGCTGGAGGAGGTTGACGGTAGCCCGTGGAGGCTAGAGGAGGTCGACGGTGGAGATGAACAGTATCCCGTGGAGTCCCGTTTTGCGGTACGCCACACCCCTCCCGATGAACAAGACCGCCGTTTCGACCGTAGCGCTCCAACACAAGTCCGTTTAGTCCATTTTGCGGTACGCCACACCCCTCCCGATCAACAGGACCCCCGTTTCGACCGTAGGAGGTTCGTTTCCTCCGTTTTGCGGTACGCCAGACCCCTCCCAATGAACAAGATCCCATTTCGAATGTGGCCGGTCGAACACAAAGACGTTTCCTCCATTCTGCGGTATGCCAGGCCTCGTTTCCATCGCCTGTTCTGTCCAAGCCGGTTGGCTCCAACGCGTTCCGTTGCCTCCCGATGAACACGACGCATTCTGTTGCCTCCCCATGAACACGACGACGACGATGTTTCTCCGTTCTGACCCAGCCATGTACATGAGCCCTGGCCGTACGTATGCGCGAGTAGGCGTTCGAGACCCCGCCCGTATGTACGTACATGGCCGTATTTTCTTTCTTGCACCCTGGCCGTTGTACGTACGTGTACATGCTACATGCGTGCCTCTACTACGGCACGTGTGCGCCTCTACTATGACACGTGCGTGCCTCTAGAACGACCAGTGTGTACACAGACGTTCACGACCAGAATGACAACGCTACGTACGCTTTGACCAGGTGATTTCCGACTTTCACGCACTTCCTTGCTTGCGAAGATGTAGCTGGTGGGTCCCAGCAGTCAGGGGGGCGAATCGTTTTTTTGCCCGGGCTTCCTTGTGTGCGAAGATGTAGCTGGTGGGTCCCAGTAGTCAGGGGGAAACGTTTTTTTCGCGAAATACGGTGGCCCGTTCGGTGGGTCCCCGCTGTCAGGTGGAGGAATAATTATTTTGCGCGTAATAAGGAGGCACTTCCTTGCTGCGATCGTGGACCCAGCTGTCAGCCTCTCCACGTACAGTCCACGTCCGATGGAAGCCATTCCTTGACCATGTTGACCACGCACACCGAGAGCATGAGGGCTGTGGACGACGGCGAGGCCCTGGAAGGGGACAATGCGGAGCCGGGGAAGACGCGGCAGTGGATGCCCACGCGTAGAGGAGTACGAGGGTTCACTGGTTCGCTGCGGTGTGAGGTTGCCGTCGCCGCAGAATAACATGGGGTGTGGGTGAGTAGAGGGATGGCCTGGCCAGTGGTGGGAGTAGTAGGGGCTGTGAGGCCTTCGCCGCATCGTAGCCGGCCACGGGAGGTAGGAGCATGAGGCACGACCGGCGCTGGTTTGGGCGGCTGGAACAAGAAGACAGAGGTTGAAGAAGCACTAC